AAAAAAAATCCTTTACAAAATATCAGCAAATTGAATTCAACTATATGTGTTTATAAATTATAATACATGTGACCAGGAATGAAAAGTTCGTTTGACATTCAAAATCAGTTGATATAATTCACCATATTAACAGAATTAAGGAGAAAAGCTATATGACTGTCTCAAGATCTGCAACAAACTCACCTGAAAAAAATCAGCACACATTCATGATGAATATAAACAAGGGTACCTCAGAAAGTTTGTGGGAAAATAGAATTAAAAGTCAATATGAATCTTTCCATGAACTTTTTGAAGTACTCTCATTCATATATTTGTGTGTGTATATGTGTGTGTATACACACACATGCGTGCATACATGTCTCCCAAGTAAATTAAGAATAGAAGAGATCTTCCTCAACTTTATAAAAGGCATCTAAGAAAGACCTGCAGTTAATATCAAACTTAAATGTTGAAAGACTGAACACTTTCCTTAAGATAGGGAAGAGGCAAAGATGCTCACCCTTAATCATTTTATGCAACATATTGTTGTTAGTGCAATAAAAAAAGAAAAAAAGAAAGAAAAAGAAGTAAAAGGCACACACATTGTAAAGGAAGAAGAAAAACTGTATTTGCAGATTGTGTAAGCATAAAAATCCAAAATAATTTCCAAAATAACAACTAGAATTACTAAATGAATTTAGCAAAGGTATAAGATACAATGTCAATATTTGAAAATCAGTTATATTTTTTTAAAGGCTAGCAGCAAAGAATGTAAAAAATGTAATACTACCTTCAATAGCATCACAAAACATGAAATACTTAGGAATAGATTCAAAAAAATATGTGCATTATCTGCACACTGAAAACTACAAACATTTCTGAGAGAAATTAAAGAAGACCTAAATAAATGGAAATCTAAATTATGTTCATGTGCTGGAAGACTTAATGTTGTTAAGATGTCAGTTCTCCCTAGACAGTCACAGTGAGAATTCTAGCAGGATATTTGTGGAAATTAACAAGCTGAGATTCTAAAATTTAAATGGAAATGCAAAGGACTTAAAATAGCCAAGACTATTTTGGAAAGGGAGAACAGAGTAAGAGCGTGTGGTAAGTGGAGTTCTGACATGGCCCCAAGATTCTGCCCCATCCTGCATGGGCCTGTATAATACTCTCCTACTGAGTGTGGGAGGGACCTGTGAATATGATAGGATGTCAGTCTCATGATTAGATTAGGTTATATGGCAAAGGTGAAGAGATCGCCACCAATGGCTCTATCCGGGACTGAAATGGCCTCATGCCCAGACCAAATGTAAAACTTAGGTCCTCACCCTACAGAAACAGATGCATCTTTCCCACACCTCAGGTCAAGGCAAACACAGTTATTGTATAGTCTACCTTTGGGGTCAAATCAAGGGAAGATGCCCACCTACACATGCCCTGAAGCATCCTCGAGTCTACTTGGGCAGGGAATCACAAGAGCACTGTTAGCCGGGGTGTGATCTAGAAGGGGAGGGTGCAGACTCTAAGAAGACAAGCTACTTGGCCCAGGGATCTCCTCATTCCGTGGAGATGGAGGAAGCTCAAGGTGGCAGGAGTAGGGCCTCCCAAAACAGGCATCTCAAACATTAATGTGAATATGAATGACCTCAGGATCTTATTAAAATGCAGGATCAGAACATATCAGGTTCTGCACGTGTCACAGCTCTCGGGTGACATGGGTGCTGCTGATCCATGGGACCACACTGAACAGCAAGGCTGTACAGCATGGTGCAGTACTACCGTGGAGCCTGGCAGTGCGTACCTGGCACTGAGGCATATACTCAGCCCTAATTGGATTGGTGTCACTTAAAGTTGTAAGATCTGTGCAGTAAAAAGAAAGTGAAAACAGGAAAGGCTATCTTTAATAAAGTGTCCACTATATGTCACTTGTAGTTTTATATCTGATATCTGATGTAATTCATTAGCAATCACCCTTCCTTGGAACCAGTTTAGAAATGCTGGGGTCAGTCACTTCAAGATGGTCTTCTTGATTTCATAACATCTGTCATAGGGATCTTCTATCTGTCCTAGTTACCCAATCCACAGTGCGAGGAAACCCCCCAGCGTCCTCTTTTTCTAAACCCTCTTTTTCTAAATCCTCTTTTTCAAGGACCTTAAAACAACCAGGAAAACATTCTGGTTGGTTCTACTACAAAATCATGCTATTAGACCTCAAATGAGCCATCGTAATTCATGATAGTCTTCCTTTTATTTTATCTTATTGACTTCCTAACACATTTTTCACAGCAATGCCCCAAATCATTCCACAATTTGTGCTCAACCCTATTTCCAAATGTCAGCAAAAGTGCTTGCATCCCACTTTAAAGAAGGGAAGAAAGCTTCATCTTATTCACAGTCTTAATCCCTTTCTTCTCTGGGGCTTTGCTTTAAGTCATTCCCTGCCGTTCTCCATTTGCTCTGACTTCTAGCAACTCAGAACATTGCCTAGATCTCCTGCTTTGTAAAATCCCATGCACCCTCCTTATTCCTGTTGCTTTATCCTGCCCTCACTGCCCACTGTCAGGAACAAGGAGTCTTCTTTCACTGCCTCCACCTGCCCCCCGGACCACCTCCTTAATCTCTTGCAATCTGGGCTTTACTTCCAACAAACTACCAAAACCACCAATTTGAAGGTCATTCAAGGGGAAAATAATTAGCATGGTTTTTACTGTCATGCCTATAAAAACACAGTAAGTTTTTAATTTCCTTAGCAAGTCCTTTCTTCACAAAACAGGACTAAACTAAGTGTGTTGTAGATTCTATCTGTATTATTGCCCAAATTAGTGAGAGCAAAATTAATGAAGTTATAGTGAGGTTCCATTTATAATATGGGAAACCTTATATAAAATAAATGTTATTAAAGTAAACAAACGGAAACCTTAATTTCTCTATTTGTTGAAAGGAAAAATGCAATAATCTGTATTCCAGCCTGCTTTATGGAGATAATGTTGAGAGTTAATATAATAAAGATTTAAAATAACTATCACAGTACACCTTATAAATGCAGTGACCATTAATATTTAGTACATTTGAAGTTCGAAGTGGAATAAGTAATCCAATATTGTGGATAATTCAAAAATGGTTCATTGTACTTGGAAAGTTATGATAGTTAACTTTAAGCTAATAATAGATTCTTATTCTTTATTTTTATCTTATGCATTTACAAACTGGCAGCGAAAATAGTTGAATCAAAAGCAAGATAAATAACTGGGGATCCCAATCTGGTATTAAAACTATGTGTGTAATCTCTAGTTGCCTATTATAATTATCATCCATTGTGTTTTGTAAAATAATAAATGTTTGTAACATCCTAAATTTTAAGGAATTTTTTTTCTGGCCAAGATTACCCATGTCATAACTGACATAATTGGAAAAGAACTTTGGAACTGTTCTGATTACTAACCTTGATCTACCAAACGTAACCAGGTGTTTTGTAAAATGTGGCATTAAAATATTTATTATTTTTATTAATAAAATGTGGGAGCATGGTTGACTTATAATTATAAAAACAAAATAAAAATCACTTCCATTTAATATTCATGTTGCATTTTCTCATTCTGCAGTATTTTTTATTTTGAGATGTCACTCTACAGAGACTTTGATCCCTCCCTCTGGGATGGATTCCTTTTTTATGCCACATTATTTGGCATTTACAAAAGTACACACTTCTTTGTTTAAATTTATTTGCTGAAAGTTAGGACCTTGGGCCATTCTTTTATTTCATCTGAACTTCTTTTCTCACCATTAATTTGAAGAAAGGTAAAATAATAAATTGAGTACTTTAATCTCTTTTGATGATTTTTTTGCTGAAGGGCCAAAACAAACCTCTGGAACCCAGATGAACTTCTAAATTATTCCAAGAGAATTAAGAAGCTTCCTTTACCCTCCACATATCCTGCTTCTCAGTACAGCTAAAGCCCTTGCTTAGGTTGTATAAATTAATACATTTGCTGGAAATATGACTTTTGGACATTTCAGAGCAGTGGTTTCAGTGCTGTTAGTGGTGAAATGGAAACTTGAGAATGTGAAGATTAATTTAAACCACATGATGGGTTCGAGGAAAGGGACATACTCTACAGTTTCTTGATTGTGTGCAGTAGGGAATGGGATCCGAATAAAACCACCAGTGAACTTTTAAACCCTCTTGAGAGGAATCAAACCAGCACAATTAGCCCTGAAATGGAGCTGGTTTTGATGACAGGCCTCTTCTCCCTCCCTCAGAAACAGATCCCTTGACCTAGGAGAACAACTGGAAGATGGAATAGGGAGGAAGCACCCCAACTGTTACCACGAAGGGGTTCTTTTAACGATAGATAACATATTGTATGTTATGATGGTTGATGAACTTGAAATAAAAGATTTCTTTTCCCTTCCAGTTCGTCGTAGCGGTGTTCTGGATCATTTATGCCTATGACAGAGAAATGATATACCCGAAGTTGCTCGATAATTTTATCCCAGGGTGGCTGAATCACGGAATGGTGAGTGGACTAACACAAATGTGTTATTTATGTGTTAGTTTAAAAAAATCTATTGAGCTATTTTCTGATTTGGTCTTTCCATAAACTCTACCTAAATAGCCAAGAAATCTTGGAAGATTACAATGAGAAATCACAATGAGAGAAAAATACAGAATGTAAATAAAATAGTTCCTCCCATGGAATCAAGTTATGATTCAAACTATGTAGTAGATGAATGCACAGTTCTTAATAGGTGTCCGTGGTGTTAGATAATGCAACTAACTCATTCTGGGATGAATTTAATTTCTGTGCCAATAGAAGGCTTTTCCTCAGAGCCTAAGGACTGATTTCCATCTGCACAACCATCAATGCCTCACTACACCTCCACCTCATGTCAGTGGGACTGTGTTGGAAGTAACTATTGTGCTTGGACAATTTCTCCCAGATGAGCAGCAAGGCTATTATTTTCCCTGGGAGATCTGTCTCAGGCATTTGGAGGTGTCTTCAGCAATTGGAGTTGTTTGCCTTGTCAGGTGTTTGCTGCAGCTGGGAGGCTTTTTCCTTCTTCTGTCTACTTATTTCTTTCTGATGCTTTGGCCATAGTGTAACTTTCACCAGTTTCAGATAAAATCCTTCGGATGGTTTGCACATCACTTTACAAGATTTGAGGATGTATTTTCTGCAGAGAAATTTTGTGTCATCTCCCCTTTCAGCTTCTGGAGTTTAGCACAGTTTTGCTATCAATTAAGAAGCCTGCATTTTGGCTACGGCAATTTTTAGATATGTCCTAGGGTGTTCCTGGTGAAAAGGGCAATCCATCACAGAAATTACAGGGCAATGAAGAGCTAGAAATCACGAGTTTTAGGTCCAAAATAACATTTTCTCTTCTGCCTCCAATTTTGGTATATTTTAAGAAAAGTGCGTACTAACAAACAAACGTTACTGTACAGATGGGTTTCGATCAATCGTTTCTTAAGCCCGCTCATCAAAAGCAGCACATCTCAGAGAACTGGAATTTTCTTTGAGTTCAATTGGAGCCACACTGTTGAAGGATTAGCATGGCATCTCTGATCTACTTTCAAACATATTGGCTGGGTCTTGTCGGTTCAGTTCAGCCATCTAAGGGGACTGACGTGATTATGCTGCCCCTCTCCAACTTCTTCCTTTTCTTGAATGGGAAAAGCCCTTTCATAACATTGTGCCTTGGCAATCTCCTGCCCCAAATGTCCTTCTCATTTTTTCCTGGTAAACTCCTGCTCCTCCTGCTAGCTTAGTTACTATCTTCTTTTAAGAAGCCTATCCTAACTCCCCAATTAGCTATTCCATTATTTGTACTGGCACAGCACTTTCATATCTCTTATATACGTATCTGTATTTCCACAAAAATGTTAAGATCCTAGTACAAAACAGCAGCCTTTGAATCCTGAGCACTCTGCCCAGGTGCCTGGCATATAGTAGGATTACTACATATTTACTAGATTGATGAATGAATTCAATATAGTCGATTTCTAAAATTCTTTGCAAGTCAATACTAATAACTTTTATTTTTTGAAGATCTACTGTGTGCCAGACATTCCATAGTGATTGTATCATTTAATTTTCACAGTGGCACTGTGAACAAGTATTATCTCATTTACAGATGAAGAAACTGACGCTCAGAAAGGTTATATATAATCTGCCCCAAATCATTTAGCTCTGAGTGGTAGAACTGGGATATGAACCCAGACCTATCTAGCCTCAAATGTGTACTTTTTCTACTAGTTTACATTTTATCTGAACAAGCAAAACATTAATTGATTCCTAATAGAAACAGTAACTTATATAGCTTTGTGTGTCTGTGTGTGTGTGTGTGTGTGTGTGTGTCTATAGCTTTTACAACTGTAAGTCAAGAAAACACAGGAAAAATATCTTCAGGATATTTTTGAAATTTAGTTTAAAATTATGTAGCATAGTTAAGCTGTCTGGGATAAAGCAGCTGATTATTAGGTAGGTATTTTAAGAAAAATATTCCAGGGCTTTTATGACCCCCAGAAGCAGAGTTGTAGATGGAGATGGGCTTTACAAATTGTCACTGCAGGCATTAAATCAAAAAGCATCATCACGTGCTCATTGAGGAGCAGGCTTTGCTCACAAAGCAGGCATATTCTTGTACTAATAGTAATCATCTTTTGTGACATTATTTCCAAGTATGAGTTAGGGAAGTATCAGCTAGATAACTTTCATTAGGAGTCCCAACTGTACGAACTAGTACAGGGAGACATCTGTAGATGCTGCCTGCAGTTGAATGTGAAATAATGTCAGTTACCTTTTCCTGACAGTAGGAGGGCCTTAGCTGAGAACAGGTAATTGCATTGTGTGCTATTGAAGTACAGTCCTGCACTATTTGGCCTATTGTTTACATCCCTAAGCTGAACAATACTACATTCAGACCAGGGAATGAATCACAACTTTTGCAGATCCTGCTTCTAAATTTTTAATGTTTCAAACAAATGGCTTATTAAGCATGCGTGCAGCCATGAGAACTTCAGCTTGCCTCTCTTAATTTTCCCTTGATTCACTTTGAGCATTGAAGTTCTTACTCTTGGAGACAAACACAAGGAGGAATTGAGTGATACAAATATTTAGGAAAGAGAAAAAATAAATTAACATGTCAAATCCTCTGAGATAATATGAGCTCAATAAATTCTTTCACAATGAATTTTGTTTCCTAGTAGAGATGAATGACCATTTCTTTGCTTTTTTTCATGTTCCAATTCATGGTTCCAGAATTACTGACAAAAAAGTGTTGCACATAGGGGCTGAGGAATACTTTGCCATATTAAACAATTTCCACTACTTTAATTTTGTATAAATGTAAGTCTGAATACAACATGCATAAAGAATGATGGTAATTCTTGAGATTGGTAATTTAAATATGAACATTAAATGCTGGAGTCATGAATAATTTAATTTTTATAAACATGTATATTAAGATTTACAAAATTTCAAAAAGTTAAGTAAGCATTTTCAGCTATGTTTAAATTTTATTTAAGGGTTTAGTAATTATTAATTATTATTTGTATTTGCTTTTAATGCTAATAGATAATTTTGAATATTTAATTTGAAAATAGCATTTTTAAGTACATGAAAATAATTTAATTTAAAACATTTTGCATTTATTTTAATGTATATATTTTGATAAAAACATTCAAATTGTGTACATTTCGATTACCATTAGATTTTATTTTCAATGATCTTTTAGGTTATTACTATCAGTAGAACTCAAATTTTGTGAAAATTTCCATTAGAACAACATATTTAGTGATTTTGCTGAAATGAAGGCAAGAAAAGTAAAATTTTGGAATATTTATATTCATATTATATTATTTTCAATGATCTTTTAGGTTATTACTATCAGTAGAACTCAAATTTTGTGAAAATTTCCATTAGAACAACATATTTAATGATTTTGCTGAAATGAAGGCAAGAAAAGTAAAATTTTGGAATATTTATATTCATATTATATTAAATATTTTAATATTTATATTTATAATGTATAAATATGTCTTTATTTTATTACTGATCCAATCATATATTTTTCTATTTTGCTTTGTGAAAACATATCTGACAATGTAGAAGGATAGGATATATTTTATTAAGTACTTTATTAGCCTAATTCGTAACTTGTCAATATTTCTGCAATTGGTTATGGCCCTCTAGGCCTGTCTGCCTGTGTTGTAAATGGGGGAGCAGTTCCTCCTCTTGGGGTCTTTAAGGATCATTCCAACACGTCTGAAAAATCACACTGGGAGAGGCATATGAAATTAGAGGATTTATTATACTCATAGGTCCTGAGACAGGAGGTACAGCAGCCACACCATGCAGGTTCCATGTGCCCAGGAGCTCCCAGGGAGCAGGTTAATGAAGCAGGTATGGAGGGCAGAGAGAAAGAGAGAAGACCCAAAGGTTAGAGTCTTTACTGGGAGTCAAGATGGAATACACAAGCAAAAGTTGTGAGGGGATCTCACTGGTGTGTTTGAATGTCACTAGGTTGCAGTCAGGGGAAGGCAAGAAGGAGAACTTGTGGCAGGGACCAGCATCGTCACACTGGTGGACCTGGTCACCTGGCCAGGGTGTTCACAGCCTATTTACAAGGAATGTTGAGGCTTTAGGAAAATATTAAGTTTTAAAATTTTATGATACACAGCCATTTCCTGTTTAGATCTTTATAATTTAAAAAATTCCGAGAGGGAATATACCCTGTTCTTGTGTGTGGAATCATATTCATTATTTGAAGAGTCTCAACATAATTTCTGGGGATCTAGGGCCCAGAACCGCAGAACTGAGATGCAGTTTACAAGTATATCATGGCTCCATTTCAGAGAGCATCATCGACTCAGGCTCAAATTGGCCGCATTCAGCTGCTCAGCACAAAATTAGAAAACAGGCATAAGAAAACTCAGAGGATATGAAACACAGGGCTTTCACTATGATTTACACTAAAGTTGCCAGAGGTTAGGCGTGATGATAACTAAAGGACAGTGTCCTATCTCTTCCTTTCTATTGTCAACCTCTTTTCTCTCAGCAACCAATCCTAGAATTTATTTGAAGAAGAGAAGAGGAAATGAGTAAATAGATTAGTTAGAACAGCAGTGCAACCTTCTATAACTACTACGTTATCTCCAGGATCCATGAAAATAGCAACAAAAAAAAAAGGAAGAAGGAAAAAGAAGAATTATAATATATTATGATTAAAAATATAAACATATAAAATATAGCACATTTAAATGAGGCCAGTTCAATATCCAAAATCAAAAAACGTTCTAGGGGGCTGGCCGCTGGTTAGTTCTGTTAGAGCATGGTGTTGTAACACCAAGGTCGCAGGTTCAGATCCCCCTACTGGACAATCACAGAAAAAAAAAATTATTCTGTCCTTGCAGCCCTATCTATTTATTTTTGAATTAATAGCAACTCGAACAGCACATGACACCCATTGGATATTCAGTAAGTGTTGATAATTAGAAGGACGTTTGTGCATTTGC